CCCCCCCCGCAGCTCTGCCGGTGCCCCTCACTCCCGACCCGCAGCCCCTGCTAGCCCAGCCCTGGGCTCCCCCACCCCCTACTTTAGACTGGTCCCCTTCCAAGCAGAGCTGGCTGCTGTGCCCGAGGGGGAGCTGGTTTTGTGCTGCCTTCCCGTGGTGCATCTAGTTCCTCCAGCTCCTTCTCTGGGCCCCGCAGCCAGTGCAGCGCAGGGCCGGGAAGCAGACCGGAGACCCCCACTCACGTTCTTCGGGAAGTGATAGCCTCCAATGACGACGTCCTTCTCCACCATGACCCTGGCGTTGGTGGGGACCACGGGGTACAGCCTGCCAGGCAGGGAGAAGAGACGGGGCTACGGCATGGGATGGGGCACGTGGCACGCGCCCGCCCCCCACTGCGCAGAGCCATTATCCCCATTGCACAGATGGAACCTGAGGCACAGAGTCCAAAGGACACAGGGCGTCTGTGAGAGCAGAGCACTGGATGCTGAGTTGGAGGCGGTGCCCTGGCCGCTGGCCCATCCTTCTGTGCTGGCGAATGCCCCGATGGACGTTTGGTCCAGTACCGGGCTCTGGGTCACACCGGCGCTGGGCCATCTCCCTGGGACGTGGGGGGGTGGGTGCTACCTGCGGTTAGTGAGGTGCATGGTGCTGTCACAGCCCCCATGTCACCCTCCCTTCATGAGAGCTGCCCCGTCCCGCCCAGGGATGCCAACACGCTGGGGCTGGGGGTTCTGCCAAGGGGGGACCCTCTCGGACCAGGCCCTGGGGAGAGCCAGGGACGTACCTGAGCGTTTCCTTGATAATGGCCCGGAGCAGCGGCATCTTGGCGAGATCCTCGGCACCGGGGATCCGCTCTCTGGGCACGACACTGTTCACCTCCTGGTACAAGGAGATCTGGGTCTCTGGGGCCCTGGCCAGGTGGTAGAGGGCCCAGGACAAGGTGTTGGACGTCTGGGAGGGGCACAGCAGAGCCGGGGTGAGGTCGCAGGGAGGAAAAGCGGGAGCAGGCTGTGACATACAGGGTGCCCCACGCTGCCTGATCCAGCCCCCCGCCCTGCCCCACATGGACAGCTCCTCTCAGAGCCAGTGGCTGCAGGACACCCCCCAAGCAAAGCCTTCGGCAGCTCCGAGCTCAGTGTAAACCCAGCTCTGCACGGCAGGGACTGCGAGCCCAGAAACCCCATGGCTGGTTATGTTATGCTAGTGCCAACTGAGATGGGGGCCCCATCATGCCAGGCGCTGCCCACACGACTACACAAATGGGGGCCCCGCTGCGCCGGCTGCTGCCCAAACCCATACGGAGACGGGGTCCCTGGTGCACAGCCCAGACCCTTATGGAGACAGGGTCCCCACTGCGCCGGCTGCTGCCCAGACCCCTATGGAGACGGGGTCCCCGTTGTGCCAGGTGCTGCCCATACCCCTATGGAGACGGGGGCCCTGGTGCACTGGCCAGACCCTATGGAGATGGGGGCCCCGTTGTGCCGGGCGCTGCCCAGACCCCTATGGAGACGGGGCCCCCGTTGTGCCAGGCGCTGCCCAGACACAGTCAGGGACAGCTCCTGCCCTAAAGAGCTCACCCTCTAAATAGACCCGAAATAGGCAGCGAGGGGAAACTGAGGCCCAGAGGGGACGTGACTCACCCAGCAAGGCCATGGCAAGCTAGGAATGGAACCGAGGCCGGTCCGCTGCTCTACCCACTAGGCCCCATGGCCACAGAGTCCACAGCTACCCAGCGCGCTCCCTTTGGACCCACCACATCTGCCCTTGGGGTGCCCGCCCCGCCCCATCCCTCCCCACACAGAGCAGCTCCTCAGCCACCCCACGCAATGGGGTTTGTGCAGCAGCCCCTGGGCCTGACCCCGCTGGGGCAGGGAGCCGGAAGGAGGCCAGGTGGCCGTCTCCGCCGCGCCGCCCTACCGTGTCCACGCCGGCCAGCAGCAGCTCGGCCACGCTGCCGTACACCTCCTCCGGCGTCAGCCTGCCGCTGGCCAGCAGGTAACTCAGGTAGCCCGACACCTGCTCGCCTCGCTCCACATGCCCCTCCAGCTCCTCCGTCTTCCTGTCAATCAGCTTCTTGCCTGCAGAGCCGGAGAGTCGAGCCCGGTCAGACCTGGCCCTCAGCGGGGCTGGGGGGCAGCTGGACTGTCGCACAGGGGAGGGGGAATCAGTGGGTCCAGATGAGCTGATCCTGTGCAGAGACAGAGGTGGGGGAAGGGGCCTGGGGACCGTCAAGGGCTGCCCACAAAGCGACGGGGGTCACAAGCCCAGGTGATGCCCAGCTGTGAGCTCACTGCCAGGGCTCTCCCCAGACCCTGCCCAGCCGCCTCCGCGGTCTCTGGCTGGATCCCACCGCGACCCGCAACTCGGGAGCACCCCGATGGGCACGCCTCTCCCCCAATGGAACGGGGCTCCCCAGAGAGCCCCCTCCCACATGTGCCAAGAGACGCGGACTCTCGGGCAGAGCATCTCCCTGCCGGGCAAGGCCAGGCGAGCCACTGTCAAGGGGGGGTCAGGGTGACAGCCCGCCCAGCGCAGTGCTATAGCACCAGAGACTGGGGCGTGGGGGGATCCTGGAGTCCCTCCCTCACAGGGATGGGCCATGAATTCATTACAGGGGCTGGCCGGGAGATTTCGCTCTCCCCCCAGCTCCGTGCTGCACACCTCTGCCAGTGGGTACTTGAGGGGCTCCCTGACTGCGGATGGAGCCAGGCAGGGAAGGCACCAAGCCCAGGGCAGGATTGAAGCACGCCCTGCCGTAACTCGATGGAAAAGAGGAGATGAAGGGGGGATATGATAGAGGTCTATAAAATCATGAGTGGTGTGGAGAAAGAGAATAAGGAAAAGTTATTTACTTGTTCTCAGAATATAAGAACTGGGGGCCACCAAATGAAATTAATGGGCAGCAGGTTTAAAACAAATACAAGGAAGTTCTTCTTCACACAGCGCACAGTCAACCTGTGGAACTCCTTGCCTCAGGAGGTTGTGAAGGCTAGGACTATAACAGGGTTTAAAAGAGAAGTAGATACATTCATGGAGGTTAAGTCCATTAATGGCTATTAGCCAGGATGGGTAAGGAATGGTGCGGCCGTTCTTATGTTCTTAGGATGGGATCGAGTGGATCCTTGTTGCCCGCCAGGACTGACAGTGGCAGGGGGCAGGGGGCCTGGGCCGTGCACCCCGGAGCAGATTGGTCTCCCTGTGCGAATTGTCCTGCCGCACATCTGAGCTGCAGCCAACTCCCTGCAGCCCTCGGTCCCAAGGAGAGGGGCGAGCAGAGACCCCGAAGCAGCAGAATTCGCTCTGGCTGCCTGGGACCCCTCATGGCCAATGGCTCCGTGTCAGCAACTCCTCCCAGGCCTGACAAACCCGCTCCAGCCAAGCCACCGCTCTCCTGGCGCTCACCCTGCAAGAAAGCCGACCACACACGGGTCGCTAATATCTCTGCAGAACGTACACACGCCTGCTACCTACGGAGCCGCGCTCCGACGGAAATTCTGTTCCCAGGCGTGGCACACGCCGACGCCCGTCCGCCCCGGCTCCGATGGCAATTAATCACTGCAAAGCCAACCCCCTGGAAGCCCCATTTACATGGTAAGTCAACAAGAAATAATGGCGGGGGGGGGGGGGGGGGGAAGGAAAACCAGCCGCGGAAAAAGCAACAGGGGAGGAGTGGCCACAGCTGTGGGGGCATTGCTAAGACATGCAAAGGGACCCCGGGTTATCCAATCAAAGAGGAGCCCCCTGGAAGTACGTCTACACTGAATTAAAAACCCACGTCCGGCCTGTGCCAGCCAACTCGGGCTGTGGGGCTGCCTCATTGCAGTGTGGATTTCCGGGCTTGGGCTGCAGCCCAACCTCTGGGACCCTCCCACTTTGCAGGGTCCCAGAGCCCAGAAGTCTTAGCCCGAGCCCTGTGAGCCCGAGTGAGCTGGCCCAGGCCAGCCGTGGGTGCCCCCCTGCAGTGTAGGGTGAGGGGTGAGAACCCGGATCCTGGGTCTGACTGAAAACCAGCAGCTCTGTCAAAACCTGCTTTGCTGTATAGGACCAGGAACCAGTGTAGACCCAGGCCTGCGATTTACACCCAGAACCTGTTCTGTTTCCATTTCTTATCTGCACTCACCTGTAGCCTTTGCTAATCAACGTCCAGTTGTTCCACTATAAATATGCTTCACTGCCCGTGCTAGTACAAGGACCCAATCCTGGCTAGTGCCCATCCAGCTGCGTGGACCCTGTCTCTCTGCAGACAGCTTGCCCCAGTGCCAGGGGCGGGCTATTCCCGAGAGGCTCGGGGGGGGAGAGGAGGGGGTGTCTGTCACTAGCCTGCTGTAACGAAGTGGGACTGTTCCTAATGTTTCCTCTGAATACTGTGTGGGTGCCTCAGTTTCCCCTATGCATTTCTTAAGTCTCTAGGTGGTGGGATAAAGGCCAGTGTGCATAAATGGCCGACACTCTGTCTCCTGGCAACTAATGGCCGGGGCCCTTCCCCCTGCAAGGGTATGCTGAAGGTGTTGGAGAACAAAGAGATCAGGTGACCTCCTGGCCCGGGAAAGAGACAAAGGCCAGAAAGGAGGAGAGTTTCAGTTTGGAGCTGGCTGGGGACAGGGAGTGAGTGCAGACGTTGGTGTCTGGCTCGCTGCCCCCAGGATGGACCTGGCTGTGGGGTCCTGTTCTCTGTACCTACAAGCTCTGTGTTAGACCGTGTTCCTGTCATCTCATAAACCTCTGTTTTACTGGCTGGCTGAGAGTCACGTCTGACTGCGAAGTGGGGGTGCAGAACCCTTTGGCTTCCCCAGGACCCCGCCTGGGCGGACTCGCTGAGGGAAGCGCACGGAGGGGCATATGCTGAATGCTCCCAGGAGAGACCCAGGAGGTGAAGCCGTGTGAGCTTCTTGCCCTGGAGACAGTCTGCTCCGAGGGAGAGGAGGCTCCCCAGAGTCTTGACTGGCTTTGTGGGGAGCAGTTCCAGAGCATCACCCGGGGACTCCGCGATACCTGCGCACATAGGGCAGGGCTGGGAGATCTGGAAGCCAGGACTTGGTTTCAGGGAGCTGAGCTGCAGCAGGCAAAACTGCTCCCCCCGAAGGGCCGGGGTGGGGACGCGGCTCCCAGCCCTGGGTACCATCCCAGCGATGCCAGGGTGGCGCCTGGCCCGGCTCCCCGCCCTGGGCACAGACCGAAGGCGAAGATGGTGTCCCAGCTCTGCAGGTAGCGGTTCCAGAAGGGCAGCAGCTCCCGGCTCCACTGGGGCATGACGGTGGCGAAGATGGAGTTCTTCAGCATGAGGCCGATGGCGTCGATGAAGCGCCGCGTCTCCGCGGGGATCTCTTGCTCCAGGCACCCGATGCGGGTCTCGAAGAGGATATAGGAGATGCCTGGCAGGAAGGAGAGGAGAGCGGCTGCTATGGGCCCTGAGCACAGACAGGGCGAGGGGCCCAGGCCCGGGAAGCAGCACGAGGCTGCAGTAGGTCCATCTGGATGCACTAGGGGGCAGCATGCAATGGCCCACGGGGACCCCATAGCCCCATCCTTCCCCTCGAGCCACCCCCTTGCCACCTACCTTCCAGGGCGAATCTGTAGAGCAGGTTGGCCACGTCCCCCACCAGGACGCCCGAGGGGCTCCCCGCCCTCTCTGTCTGCAGCCGGACCATCAGGTCCGACACCACCTCGTTGATGGCCCCCGCGTACAGCATGGCCTCCGACGGCTTCAGCATCCGCTGGTTGAGGACCTGGCGCAGACGGTACCAGCGTTCCCCTTCCCTGGGGGAGAGGCAGAAGATGGCTCAGCGCCCGTCCACACCGAGGGGCAGCTGGTAGCGGGACGCCGAGCTGCCCCCCCGGTACACGCGGGGCTGGCAGGGAAGAGCCGAGAGATGAAGGGAAGGCCGGGAACTCCCCTATAACACCGGGGGTCACTTTTCCTTCCCAAGGTAGAGCCTCTCCCCAATTCCAGCTGCGCCCGCTGTGTGCCCCCCACTTCCCCTCAAGAACCAGCCCTGCACCCGGAGAGCCCCTGCCACAGTGCCAGGAGAGGGGGACAATTGTACCAGGGCACTAAACCCCCTGCTCCAGGGCATGACCCAACCACGGACTCTCGGGCATGGAGGGAAACATCCCGTGGGCCGGTTATTCCAGAAGTGCCCACGGGGGGGGGGGAGAGGGGCCTGGTCAAACTCCAGTGCCTCTGTCCCTCCACCGCCCTGCTGCCCGTAACACCGGTCTGACCCCGTCTGGGGTCCTGACCTTCCTCAGCTACGGGCCCTGCGCCCAAGACCACGGAGCCTCGGTCACTAGCGGGACCCAGCCGGCATCACCAGAAATGATCTGTGATGAAAATTTCAACAGAAACTCCCACGTTTCCCCAGCACCAAAACCTTTCAGCCCAATCCTCGACTTCGCCCCAATTTCCTGCTCTCCGACCAACCATTTAGAAGCAAAACGTTTTTCGGAAACCTGCCTTTCCGTGGGAAGGGAAAGCGTCCTGCCGCTCTGCAAGGCCGAGGCGTGGTAGAACGGGCCGCTTGCCCCCCCAAATTAACACGTTGGCTCGAAGCTTTTCGTTCCAAAAGAAAATTGCGGAAAATCTGGGCTGACGCAGTAAAACGTTCACGTCGTGGGGGTTTTTTGCAATGGATTTCGATTCTCTAATCACAATCATCACCTGCCTTTTGATGGACAGGCCTTGTAGCCAGCCCAGTGGGAGTTCCCCACAAGGGAAATGACTCACATGGGGAAAACCAGGTCAGCCGTGACCCGTTAATCCTGCTGTCTCTTGCACACCTGGCCTTGATTCTCTGTACGGCTTTGGCAGGCCGTGCTGAGCCTTCGGGACGGAGCAAAGGCGAGTGTCCAAATGCAATGCTGCCTGGGTACCAGCACCGCCAGTCAGTCACCCGAGTAATGGCACTACTCTCGCTAGCCCACACGGGAATCACTCCGTTCCCTAGAGCTGCCTTCCTCAACTGGGCCAGGGAGCTCTCAGGGCCTGGCGCCGGTCCATGGACTGGTCATGGAGAAACACCGGCCTAGAGGGTCCGAAGGGACCATTAGATCAAGTAGTCTCACCTCCTGCCTATGGCAGGCCATTCTATCGTACGCGGCTGCTCGGGACTCCAGCCCTATATTGACTGGGGGCCCATACGATGTTTGCATTGCAGCGGCGCTTGGGAACGCCTTGATCATTGGACTCACTCGGTGAACGGGCCGTAGGGCAGCTGCCTGATATCCCGATGCTCCTTCCACAGGGCCATGTCGCTCCTCATGGGGTATTTCCCCTCCTGCCTCAGCAGCTGCTCCAGGATCTCCGGGCTCCCGATGTTCACGTTCTTGTACTTCCCAAAGGTGGATTTCCACATGGGGCCGTAAAGCTTCCGGAACAGCACCTGTAATTCACGACAGCAGGTTGGCCCCGACCGGCCCGCCAGCCCCCCCTGGAGGATGTAGCCTTGCATTGCTGGGCTGCCACTTCCAATCCAGCCCCAGGGCGGGAGTGACCAGACACCACAGTGATGGTCGGGGAGCAGAGGGCTTTACCTCCCCGTGCTCCAGCGGGCCAGCCAGAAACCTCCCTGCAGCCCATGGTAAAATTCAATGTCCCTGGGCACTGGGCTACTTCCCTTCCTGAGAGGTTGCATTTCGTTTTGGGAGTGGGGCGGCATATCTGAACGTTACCACCGAGAACCTCAGATTCCACCCTGGCGGACGCTGGGAGATTCCTACCCCAAATCTGCCCTTTGCTGGTAACGCCTAGGCGCTCTCCGAGACGGAGGTGACAGGAGAAGGCGGGCTGGCACGAGTTGGCATCACTGAAACTTGGTGGGCTAATACACATGATTGGAATGTTGGTGTGGCTGGGTACAGCTTGCTCAGGAAGGATAGACAGGGGTGAAAGGGAGGAGGTGTTGCCTTATATATTAAAAATGTACACACTTGGA